TGAAACAAGATGAATGAAGCAGGATGGATGAAGCAGCATGGATGAAGTAGGATGGATGAAGCAGGATGGATGAAACAGGATGGATGAAGCAGGATGAATGAAGCAGGATGGATGAAACAGGATGAATGAAGCAGGATGGATGAAGCAGGATGGATGAAACAGGATGGATGAAGCAGGATGGATGAAACAGGATGGATGAAGCAGGATGGATGAAGCAGGATGGATGAAGCTGATGAACTTCCTGCAGCAGTTTCTGCTCATACAGGAAACCAGATGAAAGAACTGTGAGCTCCTGCAGGGCAGAGAGGCTCGAGGACCTCTGAGGCTTCGTCCGGTGCTTCAGACCACTGAAAGTCGAATTACTCGTCTTCACAGAGAGAACACATCGACCCCCCGGGACTGATGGAGGGTCTGAGGCTCTTCTTCCTGGAACAACGCCACTCTTTAACCACTTCCTGTTAGTTTTGTAAAACTGCGGCGCGACACGCTCCAGCAGCCCTCAGAGAATCTGTTCTGTGGGTTTTATTCACTCGTCAGGAGGAGACTTGTTCTGATAGGAGGTTTTAAAAAAAGACAGTCCTCTTCCAGCCGGGTATTTAAACGAGGAGCGGGCTGGTCGGATGAATATGATTCACCACGAGGCGCCGCGGCCTTGGAGCCCGGAGAGTCTGAAGTCAGACTTTATGAGCTGCAGCAGGACGGAGTTAGCGGACCACTCACCGTTAAAGCTGACGCTGCGGATGTACTTGAGCAGTTTCTTCCCTCCAGCCAGCTCCATCTCCGCGCAGATGCCCGAGACATCAGGACACAGGTCCCGCTGCATGTTGTGCAGCGCGTGGGCCATGGCGTACACCGCGTCGATCACAAACTGGACCTTCCCCTCCTGCTCGTACTTGGAGTCGATGCCGATACGCTCCAGACCTGAAACAGGAAGATTCTCGACTCAAATGTGATGGTTCGAACTAAACACAGGAGAAGGAAGGAGGACTGAGGAGGAGGAGGAAGAGGATTTCACATTGGAAGCGTCGTCACTGATCAGAAATGATGAACTAAACACAGAATCCGGAGACGTTTCTCCATAAAACATCATCTAATGATTCATCAGCGCCTCTGATGTCACTGCTACAGCCACTCTTGATTGACACCTGCATCCTTCTCAGCCAGGTGACCCATCCTGAGTCCATTACTGCTCCATGCATCAAAAC